TGTGTGTGTGTGTGTGTGTGTGTGTGTGTGTGTGTGTGTGTGTGTGTGAGTGAGTGAGTTAGTGGGGTGTATGATTTTGCATTGAAAAAGAAAATCTGAACTTGCTACATGTTACAAGTATAAAGGCATGTTGTAATTCCATAAATAGACAGAATAAGCAGGTTTGTCATTCTTTAACAACATGATAAAAAAAATTTCCAACAGCACGTGAGTTAGTTTTTAAGGAAGCAGGATAAAAAGGTCATTTGATATGTACCTAATGTTGGTCACATACATTTAAAAAAATAAAAAAAACTTTCCAGCGAGGCTCACCACATGTTCTATATTTACCCATACCTAATTTTCACTTCATATTATTAGAAATATATGGATGTGCATGAAACACATCATTTCTTTTCAGTTTCAGGACTATTTTATTTTCATTTATGAAACTACCATCTAAATATATTTATTTGAACACATTTTCAAAATACAGATTTTATTTTTCTATCTGTATTAGGACAGTTTTACCTTTCATTTACCCCTAACCCCTGAATGATTTGATTTCAAGAATTTAAAAGTGATTAATTAACGTGTCACAATACTTAAACTCTTGTTCATAAGGGACTTACTGCTTCCAGCTGGTTTGTGAAAATCGCTGCTGTGACGTTTGAAATGATATGTTGGAGCCTGTTGAGGTTGCATCAGAATTCAGTCCCATGAAGCTTTTTGGCACGTTACCTGGTGTTCATGTAGGAAATGTCAACATGGTTTTAATGCGTGTGTTAATCAAGTTGCAATAGTAAGATCTTAAGAATCCGTTAAACGTCTACAACTATGACTCAAGAAATTCTGTTTTTTTTCTCTTTCAGCGATGAAAAAATCTTACAGAAAAGGATTTATGTGTCTCTTTCTAAAGAGGTTTAAAGAGGTGTAGTTTAATGATCTGAGGCTGATTCCTTGAAGGAATCTTCTCAGCGTCCTGATGCATCTCAGTAATCCAGGTAGAAAAAAATCAAAAAGAAAAAATAAGTAGGTCCTCTGGATGGGTTCTTCTTTAGTGAAACGTTTCGTCTCTCCTCCAAGAGACTTCTTCAGTCTGATGAGTTTCAGGTGAACCCAGCCTTATAAGCACTGCCTCCACATGGAGGACAAACAGGTTAGTCACATGCAAAAGAGGGCCATCGCTTAACAATAGGCTTTGATTACCTCTATTGTTCATAGAGGGTCATGTGTCCCATCACCTGACTTTTGGTTTGAATGCTATGGTTCTTAGGTGTCGTGTCATGTGTATGTAGTAAATGCAAGCGGGGTTCAACATCCCCTTGTTTTTGTTTCTCTTTCCCCCTTTGTGTTGGTCATCATTGGGGCCCTGATTCACATCTTTTTGCTCACAGGGGGCGGAGTCATACCCGCAATAACAGCGTTGTAGGAGGACAACTGGACACGAAGGCCTCCACCTCTGTTTAATGGTGGATGTTTTTTCTTCACAAAGATGGCTTCCTTTACTCCTCTCTCAAACCAACGTTCCTCTCTATCAAGAATGAGAACATCTTCATCCCTGAAAGAGTGACTGCTGGCCTGTAGATGAGTGTAAACTGCAGAGTCCTGACCCGATGATGTAGCTCGTCTGTGCTGGCTCATTCTTTTGAACAATGGCTGTTTTGTTTCTCTAGTGTATGACTGATCACAGTCCTCCTGACACTTAACAACATATACTATATTACTCTGTTTTTGCCGGGGAACTGGATCTTTGGGGTGAACTAATCTTTGTCACAACGTGTTTTGGGGTTTGAAAGCCACTGGGACGTCATGTTTAGAGAACAAACGTCTCAGTTTCTCTGAAACTCCTGCCACATATGGGATCTTCTCAGCCTTTCATGCTGGAGTTTTAGACAAAAATCTTCTTATGTCGACAAATGACAAAGTTGGAGATATTGTGATCAAACCACAAAAATTAAATTATGCAATACTATACTTAGAGTATGTTTTGTGAATGACTCTCAGCTACTATCACATTACTTACATTTAACCTCAGTATATCTAAAAATGACTGAATTATAGTCCTTCTTTTGATATTAGCTATAGTGGCCATCTTAAATTAGATTGAAACCAAAAGTTAATCAATGTTCATCTGGCGATTCAGCAAGACTCATTAAAAAGTTTCTAATGGTTCATAGTAAAGTTCTGTTAAACTTTGCTAACAGACAGACACGTGAACACACACAGACAACAACATCAAGGGACTTTTCACACAACCTCGGAGTAATTAAGAATCAGGAGGTTTCATATTGCTGTTTACATGTCACCTGCGAAATATTTGTCAGTTGATCAATTTATAATCCACGTGCTTGATGTAACATACCTGTGAGGTGCATGAACTTTGATGCATGAGGTCAAAAAATGCCATATGTAACTCAGTCGATTTGTAACAGGATTACAGTCACTCTGTTTTTTTCCTCATGACACCCCTGAATGAGTGTCACTTGTTAAAGCAGGCTGTCTCTTGACAAATCAGAGCCAGTAAAAGTTATTGAGAGAAAGAGCCAGTGAAATGTGCGCTGTAAATTCCCAGCTTGGCTGCAGAGACTCCCACATTGCACAATCTCCTGAAAAAAAGGAAATGACTCATGCCGAGGATCAGCATATAAGCGAGGAGCCTTCTGACTGCTACATTCAAACAGCAAACGGAGAAAGCAGCTCAACCTGGAAGTGAAGAGGAAAAGTGGAACTGTGAAAGAGAAGCCTAGCGCAGAATAAATAACGTCTTTCAGTATTAGTTCTCTGAAGAATATTTTCATCTTTTAGCGTTAGTCAAAGCAGAATTTACAAGGCAAAATGAAGAGCAGCACAGTTATCGCCTTCTCTGTTGTGATTGTCTTGGCCCTCCTTGCCGGCATTGAAGGTAAGCCTCCTTTTATTTAACATGCTCATCTCTCTCATCTTGTCTTCCATGCACCAAGACCTCTATGCATTTTCTGACCATATGCAATCCTAATCTCCACACAGGAATGAGTCTGAGGAGTCTGAGGAGTCGGAGGAGCTTGGGAGTGGAGCTGCACTGTCGTTGCATTCAGACGGAGAGCAGACCCATCGGCCGGCACATCGCAAAAGTCGAGCTGGTTCCTGCCAACTCCCACTGCGAGGAGACCGAGATCATGTAAGAAGCAAGTCCTCACCTCGTTTAGACAGGAATCATTCGGACTGAGTTTTGAAAACTTACATCTGCTTTTATGGCTTTTGTGTTGCAGTGCCACGCTGAAAAAGACAGGTCAAGAGGTTTGCCTGGACCCTAAAGCTCCCTGGGTGAAAAAAGTGATTGATAAGATGATGTCCAGGTAAGAGTCGCCTTAGACTCATGACTGATGAGGACATGTCTGTCTATGTGTGAAATTTCAGATTTTGATGCACAAACTAATTGTTTTCTGTCTGTTCTTTTTCTCTGCAGCAAAAACCTTTGAAAAGACAGGAAAGAAGTTCTTCATTCTAGAACAAAAAGAAATAAATCGATGAAATGACAAGGTCATTTTACTTACATTTCACTGTTGGAAATGACAATGATTCTCTTGCACTATGATTGTTTGTATCAAACATGCTTTTTTATTTGTGTTGCTCTTGTAATATTTGGAAAATTGCACTTGAATTCTATTCTATTGTTAAAATATGTATTTATCTTTGTATTTATCATATTTAAAGGTTTCTGAATAAATATCTCAACATCAAAATACTTGTGTTTGTCTTTTTGTTTAATATCACATATCATGTAATGTGTCTGGGGCAGATCATGTTTTTTTTCTTAATTTTTACATATTAAAAACAAACACAAGTGATGGAAACTGAAACTTCAGTGATTGCTTAGTGTTTTAATGGGTCATTAGTGGTCACATGCATTTTACAGATGTAAAACAATTGATTTACCGCCTTGTCTTCTATTGCTGATTTATTTTTCAGAACCACAGCTAAAACAAAAAGAATCAAACAATTGTGCCTGCAGATACTTCATATTAAAGAGGAGAGGGAGCTTGTTTACAGCACACAGTTCAGAGGTCTGCCTCTCTGATGGTTTGAGGGTGCATTAAGACTTCTGGCACTGGCTGCACATCTGGAAGTGCACCATCAATGCAAAACTTTATATACAGTTTAAAAAAACAAACAAAAAACACATGTATCCTCTCACCAAGGTGACGTCTTTTTCAGTGAGGAACTTGCATATCTCGGCAAGATGATGCAGCCACTCAGAATGGCTCCAGTGCAGAAGAGACTGGGTGCTGAACTGGCCTGCAGTCCAGACCTCTCACCAAATGAAAACATTTGACTCATCCTGAAGTGAAGAAAAGTCTGTTACATCTAGATTCATCAGACAATAACTGGACAACATTCCCCTCCATAAACTCCAGCAGCTGGTCTCCTCAGTTCCAGATATTACAGACTGTTCAAAGAAAAGGCTAAAATGTGTTCCTGCTATCAAAGTCAAAACTATCATATCTTTCTTTAAAATTATAGCACTCCTTAGTTTTAAACATTTGACAGGTTAACTAACGTATTGAGGCATAGGGCTTGTTTCACTGGTGGGTTGCAGTCGTACCGAGTGTTGGTGCCGGTGCATGGCTGTGGCAACAAGCTTACCAGTGTGTGAGTGTGTGTGTGTGTGGGTGATGTAACAAGCTTTGGAGTCCTTACTTGACAAAGCACTATAAGTTCTGACCATTTATCATTTTTCTAAGCTGGAGCTGTTGTACGGTTCTGAAAGATGAGCATTCTTGATCGCATCACGTCAAGGCAACCATAAGCCAAGAAAAATGTTGAAAGGTTTTACAAGGACATCTCTGTCACACCTGAATGAAACTAAAAACAACAATACTGCCCAACCCAAAAGTATAATTATAGCAATGATGAAATTTAAAACAGGAATTGAACAAAGCTTATGGTGACGTCAACAGTGACTATAGAATTTATTACTGATCTGAAACTCAAGATTGCATTGTATGAATGGTTATATTTACACTGTAAAAATGAAATGTTGGATTTACTTAACCATGTTATGTGACCTGGTTCCACTTAACTGAGTTGAGTAAATTCAAAGCAATATACCAGTTTTTTAACCAAAGAACA